TATATATATATATATATATGTATGTATGTATATATATATATATATATATAGGTTATATATATAACCTAGGAGTTCTAGAACATCTTTACCTGAGCACACATTAGAATTATATCAGTGTTGGTCCTGAGCCAGTCAAGAAAGACTTTAACCACTTGGATCAACCCCTGATTTGTCATGATCTCCAGCTTCTCCAAGAGCGTTTTCTCACTGTGCACGGACGGAGTGCTATGTTCACTGCCCTCAGAGTCTGAGTCCACATCTGTAGGAAAAAGTGCATCAAAACGTGAATACCTGAAAGAAGTTCTTAGACAATTAGAATTAACAAAGGAGAAAAGGACCTAATTCATAGAAAAATTGATATTAAAAACTAAAATACCATGTTCACCAGTTCCATTGGCAGTACTAGCATTCATGTCGCAGTGTGACTCCCCTGGAGGAGGGGTCTCTTGTGAGGGTGGAGTTGTGACATTGGGGGGAGTGGGAGTTATTGAGGAGGATGAAGTCTGAGGCCTCAACAGCATGTTAGTAAATGTTGGTGCCAGGCGGAAACAGCGTTTGGCCTGAAAGAGTTGAGAGGACATGGCCTGGAGGTTACTGCTGATACTGGAGTCGTTAGGGAGTAGCGGCCCATTGGTGGTTGGAGGAGTATCGCCGTCCCTGTCACCACCTTCTTCTCTTTGTTGTTCTTCCTCCTCTTCTTCATCATGTTGCTCTCGGACATGTCCTTCTAAGTTGTCAGAGTTTTCTGTGTCTTCTATGTCTTCCAGATCTGAACGAGACTCCTGGCTATTCATGTCCGAGTCAGTCTCCACATCAAAGGCAGTTCCTGCATCCTCCTCCTCCTCTTCCTCTGAGCTCCCCTCATCCCCCAGTGTCTGTCTCCTGGTCACTTTCTTGATAGAGGAGGAATTGAGAGAAGTTCTTTTCGTTGGGCCACTGGTTGAATCACAACGCCCACGCTTGTCATCGTCCTCATCCTCGTCTTCCTCACTCTCACAGCCTTCACTCAGATCACTTTCGTCCACACCTCGGCCATCTTTGCGGCCACAACGCCGCCTGCGAAGTCGAGACAGACGAGTGTACTTCTTTTTCTGCCTCTGTTTTTCCTCTTCTGATTTGCACTGTTCATCCACGCTGCTAGACTTTTTGGATTCAATGCTCTCACTGCCATTTTCCTTATTTGCCTCCTCCTCATCTTCATCTTGCTCCAGAGAGCCATTCTGCAGAGGCATTTCTTCAGAGTGGTCTGTTGGACGAGTTGACAAATCCTTCATGTCAAGATCATCTACAGTAGATAAAAATGGTAAAAGTTACTTTGAAGAAAATTCATCAAGGGTTAAAAGTAATAGACGGAGTGGCTCATGTCCTAAAAGTTCCTGTGGGCTTCCAGCAGGGCATGTCGAACATGTCAATTAATGTTTTCATCTTTAAACTGTTGTCAACAATCCCTGAGCAGATGCGAGTGGGAAAATACAGTACATACTAACTGATTTGAGAACTGACAACAAAAGCACAGAGAACAGCACTTTAATCCAACAAGATGTTGCTGATGATGTTAGATTTGGATTGATTACCCAACAGCCTGGGAAAATTCCTGTATTGTGCTGACTTGTCTAGATTTCTACACCTTGTTGAAGGACTTTTGGCAAAAGTGGCTCAGAATCAATCATGGTTTAAGAAAAGTTAGAGGTTTTTAGCAGTTCCAACGCACACCACATACAGTGGTGAACAACAACTACTTCGACCTAAATTTCACATCATTTTTACAACTACCCAGTGCAAAATGACTGACAAAAAAACCCCAAAAACTACCATTTGAACTAATACACATTTTAAAATGGAGTTTGAGTTCAATTTTACAAGACATTTTATAAATATAATGACTTATACTCATAAATTTGTTTTTTAGGTAGGATGTCAAAATTTCTTTTTCACCTGTGGCGTCTGTGTGTAGCTGTGGGACCTGGCTCTCTGCCTCCTCCAGTTCAGCCTGCAGTCGGATGTTGACGTGGTTCACCAGGTGGGAGAAGAGTGCCAGAGTGAAGGCTATGGAGGCAGTGTACTGCTTTGACCCTAAAACCATCAATATTTGGTTTAAAATATCAGGTCATAAGAATCCAGAGTCAGAGAAATGTTAAAGTAGTCGAGCACTAGTCTATTTGCCGTGAAACATTCTTTACATGACTAGGTTATTTATCTACTAAGTTCATTTGAAGAATATTCCAGAATACTCAATACCCAGTTTTGCTCAAGAGACTTGTACCAACCTCCCCTCTTCAGACTGTGGACCACCATCAGGCATGTGATGACCATCTTAAAGATGAGAGTGTCAGGCAGCACAGGGCAGGAGTTGTCTGGGTGCTGCTGCTCCTCCTCTTCCTCACTTACAGACTGGTGAGGACCACTATGGGTTGATGGTGGCAGGTAGAAGAGCACCAGGTTGAAGTCCTCCAGTATGGACTGGCAGAGAGACGTCAGCTCAGGTTCCATCACACTATAGGGTGACCCAGAAAAGGAGCTGGAATGTAATGAAGTTGTCAAGACTGTACTTGTATTTAACTCTTGGGTATTTTGTCTGTAAAAATCAACACTTAATAATTTGCAATTCTTAACCCTAGTTTAGTCGTGTAATTGGTCTTAGAGAGAACTCACCTGTTCTTGGGCTGCAGGAGGCTGTGGAGGTACATGAAGCTCACCAGGAGACGTTTAATATCTTTTGATCTGACACATTAAACAAGGAAGAAATTAAACTTTCTACACGAAACCAAAAGTAAAACAACCAACCAGAGAAGTATTTGTAATTGTAGCTGAGGGTAGCCACAATAATCCACTATATGTATCACCGCAACCATGGAGGAGAATCTCAAGTAAGCATAGTACGGGGGTCGAAGACTTGTGCATGCCTCGTATGATTTGTCACAGCAGAGCTTAAAAACGATCCTGTTCATCTGTCTCTGATATGTTTCTGACACCACTACACAGATGAGCCACAGGGGAAACGTGAGATTTATGAATCCAGGGGCACAAAACAATAAATTATTATTTTGTCTTTCATTCCCTTTAAATCCTGCTTACACAAACAGATTCCCCCACAGGGATCATCAATCATCTAATCCCATCTGTGGCAAAATGCTGCTTTATCCCAACAACGGCTGATTAAAAAGCGAGAGAACAGGAGTCGATAATTGCATAAAGCTGCAGATTTAAAGAGGGGCTCAATATGAAAAAACCCTGCAGTGTTAACAAAGTAGTTGTAGTAAAATGTTCTCTGTGTTGTAGATGGATTCTACAGTGAATTTCAGAAATAACTGAGAAAATCACAGAGAGAGAACAATACACCAAAGGTGTCTTTTTACTGATTTGGTCAAATCTTCTTTACCTTTGCCGTGATGGAGAGAGCTTCTTCATTTCCTGCTTTTTCACTTGATGGTACATCTTAGCTGCTTTGTCGAAGAGGCGCTTCAAATTGCCATAGGCGCCCTCAAAGGGGGCATCTGATTGGATGCTTAGAAAAGAGGGAAACTTTTTTTTAGAATTTGGATTATGAGATCTGGTTACACATGTAACACACGTGTCTTACCAGCGCAGGTAATAGTAGGTTGCTTCAACATTGTAGAACTTGCTTCCTGCCAGTGTTCCCAGTTGGTTGAAAGGCATCCCTACTGACACATGAGTAAAGACAGGCATAAAAATGTTACTTTCTTTAAGACTTTGTAGCAAGACCAGAAAAAGTCTTCTTTTTTTTAATTAACTTTATTGATCCCATACTGGGGAAATTCTTCTGTTAAACTGCAGATCTGCTGCAACAGGTGCCATGTATGTGATTCTTCTGGGAATCAAACCCAGGCTTCTCTGCTTGCAAGGCAAGGGTGCTAACCACTACACTATGGAACCGTTAAATAAGCCCACATGTGAATGCTGTGAACGCTAATATCTATTCATCATTACGTAAAGCTAGACGGGATCATATGTAAACAAACCAAGCATCAGGATGGAAAGGGATGACAAATTGTGACATAATTTCAAAAACTGCTCATCTACTGCGATTAAAGGAAAACAGTCGATGTAAAAGGTTAAAAAAGAATGACCAAATTGAGACAAGGAAGGCAAGACAACGCAAAAGAAATTCATAATTGAGACCTTTATTTGTCCCACAGCGGAGAAATTTACAATGTGAGTTATTGCAACCGACCCAGGCTGTCAGGGGAGGTGCCATTTAGCATTCAGTCGCAACTCACAGGCTGCCACACGAGAGGCACCATTAAGGATTTAGTGGTTCATTTGGGAATCGAACACAAGACTCTCTGTTTTCTGCTTGCAAGTGTTAACCACTACACTATGGAACCACTAACTACACTATGGCACCACAGGATAGGCAGTAGGCATCACTGAACACAAGTCAAACCTAGAACTATATCGACTACAGTTGCCGGAAACCCAGTGGATATTTTTGTCGGCTAAGAAGAGAGACAGGAGGCAACAGTTGTGGGTTTTTGGTTTGTGTATTGTTCTATGTGTAAAATCTGTCCACGTCACTCACCCACATGTGGCACGACAGACAGGGCCTGGTGGTAAAACCTCTCCGCCAGTTGCTCAGCCTCGACTCCTGCAAGTTCATTCTGGTATCGAGCTGAAGAACAAAAACAAGATAAATTCAAAGTAAAAGGATTTTTCCTCATTTTGCAGATTCACATTAAAATATGTATACTGCATAACATCGCAAAGTTAATATCTTTCAAACATATACAATATATCTGGTCCAAGCCGACAGCACCAATTTTTCTCTGAAGCTGTGCCCGCCCACACAAAATGACGAACATGCTGTCTCAAGACTCTACAGGACTGTATCATCTTGTTCTTACCTAGATCTCCGAGGTAGACCAGACAGCGATGACACGCCATCTGTGCCCATTCCATCTCCTTGGGGGTGGCAGACACTGGTTTCTTTCGGCCTGTGAGGAGCAAAAAATGTGTTCCTTCTTGACTTTTGATTTAGTTACATTCACATTAATGCAATTAATGCAAAACTGACTTAGTAAATGCATTGATGATTGAATAATAATCCTTCCTGTTAAACTTTCCCCTAAAAGAATTTGAAAGATATATATTTATATATATATGGCAAACTATTTGTAATAGATTCCAGTCAGTAACTCACTCCAAGAACAAAGAAGACAAAATCAACACTTTCTCAATTGCTTTTTGTAGACGAATTTTATAAAAACATTTTTACAAATAATGTGATGTGCTTGAAGTCTTCACTCTGTGTGCATGTGTGAATTTTATGTATCACAACAAATGTTCTTCCAAATCCCCCAAGCACACACACACACACACACACACCATGTAACCATATGAGTAAGAAAGTGATTTAACTTTGAGTTTTGTATAATAATAATTAAATGAATAATAATGAATATGTGGTTTTCATGTTGGTTAATTCTGTTGTTCCTATAGATACATTACTGACCAATTAGAGGATCTGTGACGTGGGTCCAGTCGATGCAGTCCTGCAGCTCCAGCTGGTAATGTGACTGGATGTAGAGCAGCAGGTGTTGGTAGAATCCCACGCCGGCTATTAAATGTGTGCGATAAGCACACTCCAAAGCACTTCGACTGTGGATGTGCTGCAGAAAAGATATTAATTAGGACAATAAAAAGATATGACTAGAAAAGACAAATACATTTTACATGACTTACATTTTTTTTTCTGTACCTCAATAACAAAATAGTTTCATGGGCAACTTAGTCAATACTTTAGTTGCCCATGAGGCTGTCATGTTGTAGAAAAAGCAAATACAAATGCAAGATATTTCCCCAGGTACAGAACCTCTCACCTTCTTGTTGGTCTTGATGACCTGAATGACCTCGTAGTAGACCTTTCTCCAGAGCAGCTCCTCGGCTTTGCGACCGTAGTCCACAGGATGGAGAAACATCAGCTTCACACAAAGCTCCCTGAGCCTGAAAACATGTAAAGTGGAACATACATTAACACAGGAATGCAGTGGTTGAAAAGGTACGTGGATGACTGGTTTGACAGGTGGACTGAGGGGTGGGAACAGTTTCAGAAGAGGTTTGTTGAATTTATATAGAAGCAGGCTTTAACTCTATCCATTCTTTTGTATTGTCACAGAATAACAAATGCTGACTACAGCTGTTTTCTTTCACGGAAATTTTTGGACAAGAATTCTAATTTCGGTGCATCCTAATATTAACATAAAATGACTTGACTTGATGTACAAAACTTAACTCGTAACTGCTGCGCACATTTCTGGGTCTGACTCTGACTCAGATTTGCACAGTTGGACAAGGAGAAAAATGCATACAGAAATCTTAACATGAATGTTGTACAATGGCCCAAAACAGTACGTGAAAGTCTGAATATGTACATCACAGTAGTTTTTTTTATATCACAATATTTTATGGAAAAACATATTGTCCAGAAAAAATGATACGGTATTGATGTCCAGTTGAACTAAGGGTACGGTAATAAACAAAATTAAGTATACTGTTACATTAGGTAAATAATCACAGACAGCTGTCTAGCATTTGACCAAAATCGTGACGATGCACACGATATCCTCTCTCTCTCTCTCTCTCTCACACTCTCTCTCACACACACACACACACACACACTGCACACACATGTGTACATACTTGTTGCGAAGGCTGATGTTTTCCGGTTTGAAGACCTCTCTGTAGGAAGATTTACTGCCAATGATAACATCCAGTTTGTGCACAGACTCCACCACAGCCCTGAACCAGTAAATAATAACATTAGCAGTGTGGCTTGGCTAAGCATTTACTGGACGCTAACAGTCAACCATTCTTTCACTTTACCAAGTGAGATTTATAAACAGTATTACATGACTTTGTTCGTCCTAACATAGGCGGAAATATACAGTTTAAACTCTGATGTATCAATAAGGCGGAAATATTGAGTATTCACTTTAAATTCAAAGCGCAAAGTACGCTAACACAATGGCTTGGAATTAGCACTCTAGTTAGCATTCTCAACTCACCTGTAAAGCCGCTTGATGAGAAGGACTTTGGCCTCTGGCTCGCTGTCATGTCCAGGTCCACTCATATTTGTTGTTCACTAGCTCCAGAGCTTATTCTCCGTCTCCCACGACTCTTGTCACTGCTTTACTCGGGTTATTTCCCAGCAGTGACAACCGTGCTAATAGCTGCTGCTAACTATCACGGTGGTGTAAGCTTCCCTCCGCTTCTTTCCCAGTTCCTTTTGTCTTTTGTTTCCTCTGGCCAAACCCCCTCTACCCATTCGTTCCGAAATACCGGGTAGGAGGGGGCACCCGTCGCTTAATCACGTCCCTGGTCAGCTAAAGCACTCCGGTATACTTCTACTATTGCTCCCTGTTCTGGCCATTGCTATGACGGCGGCCATTACTCCTTTCAGACAGTGACCGCCTGGGTATCGCGAGAGTCTGCGGGGCGCGATCACCAGATTACACCAACGGGTTGCCAGGCCATCACAAAGCGTCAATGGCATTTCATATAAAACGCTACAACATATTCAGGTCCGTTCTTAGCTCACATGTTAAGAACATGTGATTTTATATATTTTGGTTCTTAACTAGCATGTTAATAAAATAAAAGAAACACACACACGCACAAACAACGTAGTTCAAGGATGCAGGTGAAATGTGGAATGTATTTTTTAAATATTATGTTACCTATTATGTTTTGAAGTAACTGATCTCCAGATTATACCAGAGTGTACTCCAGAGTATACAGTACGAAGTAGCTTTTCACATTTTAATCTCATAACGTAAGAAAATAATATTTTATTATATTAATATCAGAATCGTATATGTGGGAAGTAGATTTCCTTATACCATTTGAAATGTAAATTCATATTGCGACCTAGTACATTTTATCTGTTCCATCCAAATTGTGCCAAACAACCTGGATCTGAAGGTAGTTATGTGTAAGATGATGATTTAAGTCAATATACACTATAGTCTTTATACTGTATTCTGTTTCTCAGATACTGGCTGTCGTCTTTACAGTCAGCTACACCACAGCTGGAGAGGAAGTGAGGAAGTGGTGACTTCTTTGCTCAGCTGCCATGAACATGAAGAAAAAATGTTGACAAACCAGTGGAGCAAACAGAGTCATGGAACGATAAAGTAGCCTTGATGCAAACCTGTGATTTGTGAGTTTAATGACAGAAGCAGGACCTGTGAAATACTACATTTGTTTGTTGTGGCAGTTTATTGTCATTGTGACACAGCACACCACTGCACACAGTGACCTCTGCCTTTAATCCATCACCTTGCTGAGCTCAAGCTGCCTGGGGAGCAGTGTGCAGGGACAGTGCCATGCTCAGTGCTCCTCGGGGCACCGGTGGCTGATGGATTTGAACCCGTGACCTTTCAGACACAAATCCACTTCCTTAACCACCAGGCCACCACTCACCACCACTTAGTAAACTATCAAATGACATAAGGTATACATTTTTTCTATTAATGCAGCTGTGCTGGAGTTTTGATTAAACACCAGAACCTTTGATCTTATTTAGTTTAAGCAGAAGAGGAGCTCATTAAGCTCATTAAGCTCATTAGCTCATTAAACATACTGTTTATCCAAAAGTTACAAATAGATGTATTTTGAGGCGCATTGGTGCAAACACAAAACACAAGTGTCCAACACAAGTTAAGAATTTAATTATTTATTTATTTAATAATTTGTTTAAGGTTTTTCTATCTCCAGATTCACCCATTCAGAAAATATAAATACCAGTGTATTCCAAAAGGAAAGGGGAAGAGAGAAATAAGTGGGAAAGAAATATTATCATCAGAATCATCAGCATTCACTGCATGAAAACAATCAACCAACAAAATTAAAAATGTCAATAATTATTAGCATTATTACAATAATATTTCAATAATCATATAATAATCCACATTCATAACAAATCCATATACAACTGCAGTACACTCTTCAACAACACTCTTCCATTAATATACACAAAAATCCCCAAATGTCTGTCCTGGAAAAACAATGTTAGACCCAGCCAGCATTTTTACTGCATGTGAGACACATGTAGGTAAAAAGTGGGCTTAAAGGTGAAACCTATGTGGATTTGTCTAAAGGTGTCGTGTGGAACGCAATGTAAATTTCCCACAAGTTAGACAGTTGATAATCAAATTTGACCCACATAACTTGCTTTGTTTAAATCCATGTCCACTTTTAACCCATGTAGCCCAAGTAAACCCACCTGTGTGGGGCCCACATAGACATGCTAGCTGGAAGGGGGGGTTTGGGAGTGAGGGTTGGGGGAATTATGGCTTGTCAAGGGTAGAACGAGGATGAGTGACCTGTGCAGTTATGAATCTAATGTTAGCGAGAGAGAGAGGAGGCACACTGAATTTTAAAGAGCGTTACAAAAACAAGCAATGTTAAATAATGACAGTGGAAGATATTTTTTTGTTTTTGTTTCAGCAAACGGCTCAATAAACAGAGGCAGAATTTGGGGAACAACCAAAAAAATGTTAAGAAATATAATATAAGAGTTGTCGGAATAAATATATAACTCTGTACGACAACCGTAGAAAACATAGAATTACCAGAGGAAAACAAGTCTGAAAGTCAGATTGTACGCTTTAAACCGAGAATATTAAAGAAATGCAGATGGAGCTGTCCGGAAAGTAAAAAGAAAATTGTCTTAAGTCTATATATGTACAAACATTGCTTGGTCACCCAGGTCTACTTATAGAGTAGAAAAGCATTTGAGTTGTTTAGAAAATGAGTGCAAGCTTAAGATTATGTTACTTGTACTGGCCATGTGCAAAAGTCTGAGGCCACAGATTGAACACATTATTCTAGAATCATGTAATCTGTTGTTGGGAAAAAAGAGACTTCTTCAGGTTTTAGTATCAAAACACTTTGTCTACTTTGAAAGTGTCTGAGCGTTAAAGAAAGGGAACATAATAAAAAAAAGACATAATTCACAAAATTCCAGTCTACCTTGTATTTAAGGTGATATGATCTAATGAGATCTGCTGATCGACGTTTGTCAAATTTGACGTTTGTCACTTTTGTCAAATTTGGTCCAAGTCCTGGCGATGTCTTTAGGTGGTGCTGTTGAGTCATTTTGTTTAAACCCAAAACCAATCAGATTTTTAATATTTCTGCACTTTGGCCAAATTAAATATGTTGGATTAAAAAATCAAAATCGAAATAATAATGAAAGCGTGCAGCATTTCAGTAGGATGGTGTAGAAACGGATGCTTGCGGAAATGTGAAAACCAAAATAATTTATTAGAAAGTTGGATAGGTAATTATTATTATTTTTTAATTTTTTTGCAAGATCACAATGGTCTCAAAATAACACCGATTATTTTTGTCTCTATTCTGGAGTTCATGTGATAAATCCCATGAGGAGTTGTCAAGGGAACCAGATGAAACTGCCCCAAATAAAAAATGTCTGACTCTCTGTTGGCTGGAGTAGATGATTCTAAATGATAAATCCTTGCTTGTGTCAGTTATGTGCATGGGGTCCACACGGTGGAGAGTGGTGAGTGCTTTTGCCTTACAGCACTGGTTCAAGACCCAGCAGATAGTGCATGTGGGTGTGAATGGTTGTTTGTATCACTGCTTATGATTCTGCAATAGGCTCCTGAAATGTCTAGGGTGATTTTGTTTCCACATTATTCATGAGGATAGTCAATCAACTCTATTCTTCACCCCCTAATCTTTTTTAGGGCGTGGTACAACCCTGGCATCTCAAAAATCATTCCCAGGGTCACATATTGAGACAAACAACCATAGACCCTATATTCATACCATGATACCCATGGCTAATGTAATCCCTAATCTGCAGGTTTGTGGAGGAAATCATAATATCTGGAGAAAACCCATGCACATATGGGGAGAATATGGAAACACTATACAGAAAGACTATCAGCTAAACCCTGGGCTTGAACCAGTGATCTCCTTGATGTAAGACAAGAGCACTAACCACATGTCCACTGTGTGGTCAAATACACTTCTATATTTTCTTAACTTGTGGTTTTAAGACAACCAACTATAATTGGTCACTGAAACAAAGCTAGCGTTAACCTTAGACTTTTGCACAGTGTCGTACGAATGTAGGCTTTAGCACTTAATGAATGCAGCTGTAAGTGACAGACCTCGCTGATATTTATATGTCTGCACAGAAAGTGCCTCTGAAAGCTGTCAGTACTGTACTGTACTGTACTGTACTGTAAAAACGTTTCCCCGCGTCTTGGAATTGGTAACTTGAGAAGACCTACTCATAGAAAGAGAGAGAAACATTAGAGGGGGAAAAATAACTGTACACTCTGCAATATACAAACAAACTGGATATGTACATAGACATACAATATATATATTTTATATTTATACACATTTACCCAGTATATACACAAGAACTTAGCCAGTACGCAGACTTATATACAAACACATTCACTCATTTTCCTCTAACATCTCTCTCTCTCCCTCTCTCTCTCTCTCTCTCTCTCTGTCGTATTTCTGCCATTGATGTAAATGGCAACTCTGATTGGAGTCCATACAAAGAAATGAACCAATGGAATAATGTCACTGACACCAAGAGTTTGTCCTCAGCTCTTTAACACCCCACCTAAACAACAGTGTACCTGTAGGAGCGCTCACGTTGTCCGTATGATGGAGAGCTCCGTGGTGTGAAAGATCGTCCATCCATGTGTTTGTTTCGATTATTTTTCTCTGTTTTTCGGTTTTGATCAAATGCAACCGAGGCGAAGGAAGGCACAGGTCGCAGCAATAGATCCGCAAACTGTGTGACGGGGGGAGTAGGTGAAGCACAAGTTTGTCCCTTTCAGTTAGAATCCTTAAGGGCAACAATTCTCTCCACCAGATTGTCTCTTATAGTAGGAAAAGTTGCATCATATAAAATGGATTCCTAGGGAACGTACGCTCCGAGATAGAGGCATCTACCTTTATCAAGAAATAAATATCTGTGCCGGAAGATTTCTGATAAAGAGGTTTTATATACTATTATAAGAATAAGCAGTATCTTAGAAATATAAATAATCACATTCTGTTCATCTTTTGTTTTCATCAGAGACGTCTGTGAAGTTATTCTGCTCTGACGCGATTTCACTTGTTGTTCCAAGAGAATGTGCATATTTAGTTTTTCATTGAAATCAAAGTATTGAAAGGGAGCGACGGAAGAGCTAAAACTATCAACGTACAAAGGTTATATTAAATGAAAGTAAATGCTTTGAGTCCAAAGATAACTGCAGATGAAGAGTAAACTGACTAAAAAAGAGTAAAGTAAATTTTGAAAAGACTACAGAGGGAGCGGAAGGGAAATTAATGCTTTGCAAATAAATTCGGTTTGATGGAAATTTCAATAGAGGTCAAGCACCTTTAAAGCAATGTTTCCAAACGCATCTGCCGCTCTTTTCTTTTTCTTTTTATTTGAGCA